AACCTCTTGACCCGCTTTCAGGGTAAGGTTGATAGAAATTATTTGCTTGGGATCACTTAGTCGTTGGATAGCCCATTGCCCGGGCCCTGGCCAGTGAGGCCAGGCCTGGACTGTACATTTCATGCCAGGCATCTGAACCCCAAACACTTTTGTTCCTCTTCCAGAATTACCCCTTCTTTTCAAGAAGACTTTTTGCCACTTGCTGCCTGTGTGATCTCAGACAAGTCACATTACCTCTATCTGCCCCTCCAGTCCCTCACCTGTAAAACGAGGGGGCTGGAGGTGATGGCCTTTGAGGTCCCTTCCAGCCATGGGTGGGTGATTCTCAGTATGTGCTCGGTTTGTGATTCTCTTATAGAAACACTCCCTCTCCGCCCCACCCCACCCCTGTCACCCCCTTTGCCTTCACCCTCCTCTGTTTGTCGCTTATCTGATGTGAGCTGGGAAACCAGAGACCAAACTTAGTAAAAACTGTATGTGAAAAGTTATTCTTGTTCTGAGCAAGGGCCCAAGATATCACAGGGCACGGCCCAAGCCTCAGACACCTTGTTTTGTGTGCGCCGGAGGCTCAGGGCAGTACCCAGAGTTTTGAGCTTTGCTGGGAAGCAGCCAGACTCAGTGCAAGGAGTCCTGGATGTGGAGTCCAGAAGACCTGGGTTTGAATTCTGACTGTGCTCCTGGCTAGCTGTGTGGCCTGGACCTGATTGCTCCCCCTCTCTGGGCCTGGTTTCTCCTCCGCAGAATGAGGGAAATGACGTCTTAGATCCTGGCCAGCTCGTCAAACCGTTCATGAATCATGTGGGACTTGGCTAGCGGATAGAGTCCTGGACTGGGTGTCTGGGAGATGAGTTCAAATCCCCGTTTAGACATTTACCAGCTCACCTTGGGCAGCCTCTCTCAGTCTCAATTTCCTCATCTTAAAAATGGAGATGATAGGGGCAGCTAGGTAGATAGAGTTCCAGCCTTGGAGTCAGTTGGACCTGAGTTCAAATCCAGCCTCAGACACTTGACACTCGCTATGTGACCCTGGGCAAGTCACTTAACCCTGATTGCCTAAGCAAAAAAAAAAAATGGAGATGATAACTATGCGGATGATGACCTCATGGATATATGAAGATGATAACCTCACAGGGTTGTTTAGGTTTCAGATGACATTGAAGTATGTCAAGTGCTTTGTAAACCTTAAGGCTGATACATAAATGTCCTCCCTCTTCCCGCAGGCTGTCTGGTCAAGGCATTAATGGGACAGTGAGCTGTAGATTGAGGTCAGGGCAACCCTGAGAAGAACTGATTAAACAAGCCTACCCTTTACTCTCAGCCCTGAATTATTTGTACTGTGCCACATCATGTCATGGACACGTTCCTTTATTCATTCAGTCATTCTCTATTTATGGAGGACTTACTCTGGACCAAGCACCATGCTGTACCCTGGGGACCCAAAGACCAAAATGAAACCTCCCCTGCCTTCCAGAAGCTATTGAATGCTGCCCAGTCCTTTCAGGGCTGTGAAGGTTGACAGAGTGCCCTTGACACAGCAATCCTAGTGGGATGATGGTTCAGAGATCATTCCCCTGTTTTACAGATGAGAGAATTATGGGTGACAGGTTTTCAGTGCTTTTCCGGAAGCCACACAGCCTCAAACCCGGATCTTCCAACTCCCGACGTCCCACTGACTACCTTGGCTCTAGCCCCAAGTCTGTAGGCCTTTCCATTTCCTTCGCCTTAGATGCTTCCGTAAAATGAAGGGATTGGCCGAGAGGACCTCTAATTTTGGGGCTGTTCTGGCTCAGAAAACCCTTTTTGGACTCTGGGATTTACTTGAATGACATCAGGGCAGGTCCTTGTTTGGGGGGCTTGGAGGGCTGTTACAGGAGAATTTCCTTTCCAGGAATTCATGTCAATGCTCATGATAGTTTTCTCTCCATTCTCCATGGCAAGGGTAAAGTTCCCTCTGGGAAAAACAGTAGGGTGATGGGAGGAAAGAGAGGCCTTTGAGGTATTCCCTTCTTTCAGGATGACAGGGGAGCCATGGGAAATAGGAGTCGCAGGCCCCTACTGGAACTGGGTCTTGGGTTCACAAGATTCCGCCCGTGGTACATGCCTGCCCAGCATTCTCTGGCCCCGGGCAAGCTCACATTCCAGATGGGCGGTCCACACCTTCCTGTGTATACTCAGACTGCCTCGAGTGGAATCCTGGCTCTTGATGGAGAAGTGACCCGGGCACGTTTCTCCTGTGAAGGATTATTTCAGGCCCAAGACCCAGGTCAACACCTGAGGCCTTTGCTTGGTATAACCCCTCTTCCCTCTACACTGTCCGAATGCTTGGGAGTGCAGGCCTTTCGTAACACCCTTGATTTAAGATCCCAGTAAAGGCTGTTAATAGCCTGTAATGACTCAGGAATTAGTTTTACAAGCACAAGTGAGGAGGGAAATGAAATATATCTCTTCTTAACTCAATCCTGGCCAGGTTGGCATCTGAAGCAGTTAGAAACCCAAGAGGCATTAGTAGGAGAGTTTTGCTTTTGTTTTAAAGATTGTGGGTTAACATTGGGATTGTTCTTTTGCTAATTCAAATGGAGAAAAGATGAGAATCTTGTAACTTCTCTGTCTGTCTCTGACTTCCATGAGTATCCCCTACCACGTATCTTAGGGCAGCCGGAAGAGGTACAGGAAATTATGCAAGAGGTGTTACTGTTTCTTTCTTTTTCTTTTTTAATAATTCCCAGAAAAGCTATTCCTTTTCCTGCTCAGTATTAGGTCTATAGATTCAAGGTCCATCACAGACAAACTCCCAGGACACTTTGTAGTCTCGGTGGAAATTCACTGGGCCCTAGCGTCAGTCTTTCTTACACTATTCAGAACTACCAAACATATTTCATTTGACCCTAAAAAAAGGATTCTTAGCCTACTATCTGTGAACTTTAAAAACAGTTGATAACCGCATTTCAATGTGATTGCTATCTTTTGCAATCCTGTGTATTTTATTGTGTGTATTTAAAAGCATTACTTGGAGGAGGGGTTCACAGGTTTCACCAGATGGCTGCAGGGGTCCAGGACACAAAAAAAGGTGAAATAAACAGAGCACTTAAAACCTCAGACCCTTTTCTTAAGAGATAGTTTGGGGGCAGCTGGGTGGTACAGAGAATAGAGCACCGGCCCTGAAGTCAGGAGGACCTGAGTTCAAAGCTGGCCTCAGACCAAACACTTGACACTTACTAGCTGGGTGACCCTGGGCAATTGCCTAAGAACAAAACCAAAAACAAATAAAAAAAAAAAGAGAGAGTTTGGTGCATGGCACTTTAATGTTTGTGGATCAATTTACATATTTTATTATTTTCATTTGATTCTCTCGACAACCCTGTGAGGTAGGTGCTGTTTTGCAGGTGAGGAAACTGAGGCCTTTAAGTGACTTGCCCAGCATCATACAGCTAATAAGTGTCTGAGGCAGGATTTGAACTCAGGTCTTCTTGACTCCAAGTCCAGAGCTCTATGCATAACCACACCTAGCTGCCTAACTATGGAGTGGGTGGAATGCTGGACTTGAGAGTTAGGAAGAAATAGGTTCAGATCCCGTGTCTGATGCCTACTAGAATGTGGCCAAAGGGAAGTCATTCAGTCTCTCTTGAGCTCAGTTTCTCAGCTCAAAATGAGGGGATTTGGGGCAGATGGCTTTTAAGGTCCCTCCTCTAAATCTGTGATCCTCTGACTTTGGTGAGCCTCAGTTTCCTGATTTGTAGAAGGGAATTCTTAAAAATAGTAGCTTTCATAGAGTTTTTGTCAGACTGAAATTAAATAATATAGATGAAGATAGTGTATGAATATCAGCTTGTTATCATGATGATGATGAAGAAGGTGATGATGATTTGGTGAGAGAATGTGGCATGTTTAGAAAGAGCTGGCCTAGAAATCAGGAAGACCTGAGTTCAAGTCCCACCTCGCACCCATCCTGGCTTTGTGACCACAGACAACTCACTTAGCTGCTCAGTGTTCTTGGAAACTCTCTAAACTAAACGTTGTGGAGAAGGTGTCGACCTGCGTTGGTAGAGGGCATTTCCTCTTCTGGGAGTTCTGTGTACTGATTGAATCCCCTCACAGGTCTGGTCTCTTTCGCTGGCCCTCATATTTATTAAGTCCTCCAGAGATGTGCAAGATCACAGTGTCAGCATGAGACACTGTAGGGGAAGGAGCCTTGGATTCATAATCTGAGGTCTTGGGTTCAAGTGTTGGCCCTGCTACCTGTGTGACTGCCGAGTTATTTAAATTCTCGGGGTATTGGGTTCCTCATGTGTAAGTGATCGTCTCTTAACAATTCCAAAATCTGTGATGCTGATATTAAGTTCCTATTTGGCCCCCGGGTACTGCTTGGCCTCTGAGATCTCTTCCTGTTGGTTGAGGGCAGGCACTGTGGGTGCTTTGCTTTGTATCTCTACCAGTTGGCACGGTGCATGGCATGTACAAGGTGCTTAATAAATGCTTGTTGGCTGCTGGGTTCCAGCTCCCAAGATTCTGTGCCAGACCTTCTCTTTGAAATGGCACCTTTTCACTCAGGTGTTGGGTGGTGGCAGAACTCTAGAGAAATGCTATTTATTCAGTAATTGGTCTGTGCTTTTATATCCTGCTTCAGCAAATGCAACTCAATAAATATTTATTAAGTCCCTGCTCTGCGCCTAGCCTAGATGCTAGGGGTTCAGAGACAGACATTAAGTAGTCCCTGTCCTCAGGTGGCTTCCTTCCTTCCGTTGGGGGGCGGGGCATGTACCTAGGTTCCTGCCCTCCCACCCAGGGGTCCCCAGCTGTTTTCCCTCTGTGTTTCAGAGGTAGCAGAATGACCGCAGCTGGTGGAGGCAGGTGCTGGTGAGGGACGGCAGTAAGTGTGTGGAATCTCTGGGTCCAGCGGCGTTTCTCAGCGTGTACTGGCTGGAAGGCCCCAGCTAGTTTCCTGTAAGATGGGGTTTGCTCAGCCCAGGACTTGTCAATGAAAACCTGCCCTTTCTTTTCAGGCCTCGGCTGAACCAGTGGCTTTGAAAAAAGAGCGAGGGTCACCATGGGGCGGTGGTTCCGGGCAGCAGAGGGCCCTCTTGGGTCAGAGCCCGAAGGCCTTTGAGAGGAGGAGAGGAGGAGCTGCCCCCTCGCCAGAACCGATGACCCGAGGTTCTGCTCCCGCCCTATACCTGCCCATCGAGTTGCACAAGATGGGCTCCTTCCGAAGGCCAAGGCCCCGCTTCATGAGCTCCCCGGTGCTGAGTGACCTGCCCCGCTTCCAGGCCGCCCGCCAGGCCGTGCATCTCAGTTCCAATTCTGCCTGGAACAGGTGAAAGAGGGAGCTGAGCCGTGGGGGGGGCCCTTTGGGAAGGGGTCTTGTGCTTTCCCCTACATTGATTTTTCAAACATTTGCTCTTCTAAGAAGCCCAAATATGGTTTTCTTGGGGGAGGAAAAGAGTGGGAAATACTCAACCCTTTTCTCTTGGAGGAGTGGGAAGGTCAGAAGATCTGCATTTGAATCCTGTCCATCCTATACTATCTAGCTCCCTGCTAACCTTGGGCAGAATCCCTTCAGCTTCCTCTGCCTCCGTTTCCTTATATCTAAAGTGAGGGGAGTTCAGTTCATAGCATCATAAACTTAGAGATCAAAGGCCCCAAGAGGCCACTGAGCCCCACAGTCCCCCTTTAAAAAGGGGAGAAAACTGAGGGTAAATGATTTGCCCAGGGTCTCACAGGGAGTAAGTGTCTAAAGCAATTTTTGAACCTAGGTTTTCCTGAAGACCAGCATTCCACCCGCTATTCCAAGTTGCCTCTTAGTTCTATTTGTTTTTCATGTTTTGGACCAGACCTACAATTCTGTAGGTATAGGAAGAGTGAAGAAATGCCCTGTGCCAAGGCAGTTTGGGCATTTGCATTATATCTTTGCATGGATTAGAGTTTCCTGGGCCATTGAGACTTGAAGAATTAATTCAGTTTAACAGGTATTTATCAAGGACCTGGGCACTAGTGATACAAGGACAAAATGGGAACCAGGACCTGCCTCCCAGAAGTTTCCATCCCAGGTGATCTGGGAGGTCCCTTCATCCTCAGAGGTCTGTGATCTTGTGACCCATGAGTCATCATAGACAAGATCCCTCATCTCCAGGAGTCCCAGATTCCTCATCCTACCTGACTTCTGGAGGGGTTGTGAGGACAGTGCTTTGTGAATCTTAAAGCACCATGGGAATGGGAGCTCACAGGCTTTAGGATTAGAAGGCACCCTAGAGAGCGTCTGGCATCACTTTATAGAGGAGGGAACGTAAGCTCACTGGATGAAGGGAGCTCTCTCCCGGAGTCATCATGGGGTAACAATGGGAATTCACACTGACTGGAGTTGGAGGGCTTGGCTTCAGATCCTGTCTTAGAGCCAGCAGGGACGTCAGAGGCCATCTGGCCTACCCCCTTCATTTTACAGATGAGGACACTGAGGCTCGGAGCGCTGAAGTCGCTTCCCCTCCCTTGATCCTGGCTGTGCCCTCTGTGACCATGGGCATATGGTGTCACCCTCCAGGCCTGGAGGATTGTGAAACGAGAGGGTTGAACTGGACAGGGTTGGGGGTCCCTCGTGCCTCTCTAAGATCTCCTGGGAAGAATGAGGGAAGGAGGCATCAGCTGGGAGACAGATGATCTGGGATGAGATCCCACCTCACACTCCCTCTGTGTGCCTCACTTTCCTCATCTCCAAAATAAGATCCAGAGGCCAGTAGGGATCATTTGCTTGCTGACCCTACCACCCCATTTGGCCTTGAGCTGGTGCCATGGGTCAAGCGCTTGGGGAGAGGACACGTTAGGCGGGGAAGGAGGGAGGGAGAGGGTTTTTTGGGTGGTGGTGGTTGTTTTTTGAGTCTCACCCCTTATCTTTCCCGGGCAGCGTCCAGACTGCGGTCATCAATGTGTTCAAAGGAGGAAGCCTGCAAAACAATGAGCTATTCCTGCTGAATGAAAACATCAGGTATGTCACCAGAACTGATTTCCTTCCATGAGCCTGGGCTGGGAAGTGGGGGAGGTTCCAAATGTGGAGTTCTCTGAGGAGTCCTGGGTTCAAACTCCGGCTAAGACCCTCATGAGCTTGCAGGAGAGGGGGTTGACCTGGGGTAATGCCATTTGGGTTTGAGTCATGGCTCAGCCACTTGTCAGCCCTGTGAGCCTCGGTTTCCTCATCTTTAAAATGGGGGTGAGGATGATCTCACTGATGGCCTCCTAAGGTTGTTGTGAGGTTCAAATAAATAAATATATTCCCAGTGTTGTATAAACCTTTAGAAGGCCTTCTAAATGTAAGCTGTTTGAAAAATTAGTGCACTTCACCTAAATAAACTACAGTCTTCTAATCGGTAAAAGAAGGATAACAGGTGAGCACCCCCACCTGCACATATGTATACATACATACATACATACATACATTTATAGCCAGGGTGTCCCAAAAATCTTAGTGCAGCCTTCTCTCCCTTCATATGGAGGATCAAAGAACAGTGGATCCAGAAGGGCCCAAAACCATGGTCTACTCCAATACATTCATTTTACAGATAGGAAAACTGAGGCCCATAGTGGCATAATATCACTAATCCAGAGTTCCTCTGTCTTAGACTTGACCCCCAGGACCATCTTCCATGATACAGGAGGGTCTGAAGATAAAAAGCAGCATCCCTTCCAGGGGCCTCATTCATTATTCTGTTAACCCATGGAGAGAGCCAGTGGGAAAGGGCTCTACACTGAAGGCATAGTGTAACCTCCTCGAGGGTAGGGGCTGTTTTGCTTTGACATTTATGTTTACAGCTCCTGGCACAGAGCCTGGCCCACTAAATGCTCGCTGACTGCCTTGAATGATTGATTGAAGTCACTGACTTGCACACCTAGCAAAGGTTCCCATGTGCTGATTTTTTTTTACCTTAGAGCTGCCCCAGTCCCTACGTGCAGGCTCCCAAATATGGCTTGAATCACAGAGCACCCACTTTCATTCTTGTTGTCAGCCCAGAGGGAGCTTGTCTGCCTGGGAGAGGGTTAGCCAGTGACGGCAGACGCCATGGCTCTGTCTGTGCTTATCAGTGGCATGTCTGAGGGATGACGGCCTGTGGAATATCTGTCTGGGGCTCCTGGTATTGCTTTCAGCTGTGCTCTAGCCCAGCGGAAGTAAGTTTGTCTTTTAAAGAAATGAAAACTTTCCTTGCACGTGCCCCCTCTAAGCTCCCCAACTCCCACCCTTCCTCAGGAGGAGACTCGTATCTGACGGGGATTGAAATGCTCCTTCTATTGCCTGGAACAATTCCTGGAAAATGGAAAGTAGGCGCAGGCATGCATGCCGAGCAGTGGTCTCAGGCTAAATAAAGCGTGTTGGCATGCACATGTGTCCACATCTGGAAGTACCCATGCTCAAGTAAACACAGCTGCCTTTATTTTAGCAAGTAAAACACTGAAGCAAAAATATGACTCTCCTATGACTATGGGGGTTGTAAGTTAGTCAAGTTTGATTTTTCTCTCCCTGCTTTTGAAGACTTACCCAGCACAGTAGCCCCCGTAATTCAGCTGGCTGGAGGGAGAAGGGAAGGGACTCTAGGAAGTCTTTGGAAGTTGGCTTGGGGAGAAGGGGCTCTATCATGTTCTCTTCGGGGCATTTTGGTTCTGAGAAACTATGAGCCTGAAGCAGAGAAGGTAGGACTGATTGCTTTGAATATCTGGTTAGCTCTAGAAGGGACACTGGGACCATGGGATCATCTACTAAACCAGACCTGTTTAGCATGGAAAAGACATTTTTCACAGAATGACTCTCTCCCTCTCTTCCTCCAACTCTGTGACTCCTAGACTTCTCTTCACCATTCCTTGTATTTTCAGTCCTCCTATGACATGATCCCAAGGCTCTTTATTTCCTCAGCCACCAACCTCTGTAGATTCTCCAGTTTATTAGTGGCCTTTCTAAAATGTGTTGCCTAAAATTGAACACAATTCCCAATGTCATCTGACAGTGGAGTATTGCCTCTTAGTCCCAGATACTATACCTTTCTAGGCAGCTAGGTAGATGGTGTAATAGAGTCTTGGATTTGGAGTCAGGAAGAACTGAGTTCAAATCCTGCCTCTGGCATTTCCTGACTTTATGACCCCTGGTCAAGTCTGTTAAAACTCCCCAGATATTCTTTCAGATGAACTGTTCTCTAGCCCTCTCTTCTCCATTTTGTTTTTGTGAAATGGACTTTTGGAACACAAGGGAAGAACTTTCCATTTCTCTCTATTAAATGTCATCTTTAATTAGATTCAGCTGCATGTCAAAAATCTTTCTGGTTCCTAACTCTTCCTTGAAGTGTGTTAGCTCTCCCTCCTAGTGCTGGATCATCTGAAACTTGATAAACCATTATCCAAGTCATTGATAAAAGCGTTAAAAAAGCTGAGGACTGAGTGTACGTCCTTGGGACCCACCACTAGGAGCAGAAACCCTTCCCACCTGTCAGAGAATCATTATTAATGACTCTTCTTTGGGACCATCCATTCACCTGTGCCCAAACCCACCTACCTCTAATGTCCCCTAATCCACATCTCTCCAAGAATAGCGTAAGAGATACTCGACTGAAATCTAGACGGACTCTGTTTGAACGTTCTCCGCACATCAAGGAATCCTGTCATAGAACCTTTCTGGCTCTTTGTGATCACTGCTTCCCTCTCTAGATGTTCACTAACCATCCTTGTAATCACATTCTACAAAGTTGCCAAGAACTAAAGGAACACTCGCTGTTCTCTTCCCTTTTCATAAAACTGATCCTTCCTCAATTCTGCTGCCCCTCTCCCATTCTCTAGAGATCAGAGATCACTGACCTTAGTTCAGTCTTCATATAGTTAGTTCTTCTGGACCTGAGGCAGTGAGATGGTATAGTGGACAAAGCAGAGTATTGGACTTGAAATCAGAAAGACCTTAGTTCACATCCTACCTTAGATATGTGTTAATTGTGTAACCCTGAGCAAGTCATTTAACTATTCTGTGACCCAGTTTTCTGGTCTGTAAAGGAGAGAGTTGGACTCAGTAGCCTCAAAGGTCTATTCCAAATCCATGATCCTATGTCTTGAATTTATCAATGGTAGCTGGCTAGCTAGCTGCCCTTTCTTGGGTTTCAGCTTTCCAATAGCCATTTTTGCTCCATTCTTACCATTCCAAATAATGGTTTCCTTACTGGAGAAAGTAGAGATGAAATAAGAATTGAGTTGTTCTTCCTTCCTTGTGTTCTCCATTCCACTCAGAGCAATGGTTCTCTCTCTTCTTGGAGCCTCCTCTTTTAAGCAGTATGGCTTTTCAAACAAAACACCTGTTTCACTATTTCAGTTTGACTTTGAGGTAGGACTTGGTTTTGGGGAGTCATCTTTCAGCTTGTTGTAATGGAATACTTCCAATCGGCCTTGAGCTGAAGGTTCTCCACTCCTGGGGTAGAGACCAGACAGACTCCATTTCTTTCATGGAGGTATTCTTCCTGAGTTTGGGTGACCATTTGTCAGACGATGTAGAAAGGACACCTCCTTTAGGTGATTTAGATGCTTTCCAAAGTCCCTCATGACTCAGATCTCTAAGGAGAGCAAAAGGCTATTCCCTGTACTTGCTAAAAGGCAATAATAGTAGAAAGAGCCCTCATCTGGAAGTCTGAAGATCTGGGTTCTAGTTCAGCTTTGTCTGACTTTTGGGCACAGAAGTGCCTACCCCTGACCTACTCCCCTCGTGCCTCAGTTTCCCCATTTTCATAGGTTGGACTAGGTGACCTTTAAGGTCTGCAGTCTGTGGTTATATCTGTGAAGGAGACACTGGGTGAGATGCCTAACAGTTGAAGATAGAATCCCATCCCTAGTGAAGCTTACAGCCTCATTGGGAAGGTAATACAGAAATGCCTGAGAGATTCAGCTTTATAAAACTACAAGAGAAATAACAATTTAATACAGTAAAATAGCTAACACAAGGTAGTGTGTGATTAGTTGCAGATAGTGAAGGCTGTAGGAGATTATAGGATCACAGATTCAGAGCTGAGAGGGACCTCTAGGAGGTCTTCTAACTCAATTCCATTTTATAGATATGGGAACTGAGGACCAGAGAAAGGAACTGAGCTATGTCATGGCACTTTGGAGAAAGTTCTAGATTTTGGGTCATAGGAGGGGTTCAGAAGTGACCCTGCCTTCAGTTAGCTGGGTGACCTCAAGAAGATCATGACATTTTTCCCGGTCTTATTTTCCTCCACTGTAAAATAAATGGTTGGTCCAGTTGACCTGAGAGGTCCCTTTCCACTCAGTACAGGGTGCCACTAAGTGATTTGCCCCATGTCGCCCAAGGCAAGCACCAGGATCCAGACCCAGCTCTCTGACTCCATTCTCAGCACTCGGAGGTCACCATGTCTGCAGGTCGGGGAAGGCTTCCCAGAAGAATGATGTGAACTGAGTCTTCAAGTCAGCTTAGTTTATTTCCTGGAGAAACAGCTGCTTTTTGTGTGTGTCTATAGAAGAAATTATTGTCAGGACGCTATGACACATGAGCCTGTTCCCTAGTCTGAGGCCAGCTTGAAGGTCCAGCCCGGCTTTTCCTCACAGGATTATAGAATCATATCTTACAGATGAGGACACCGAGACGTGGTGGTCTCAGCGGGGAAATAAGAACCAGGTCTGGTCCTGGTGACTCCAGAGCCAACACTCACCCCCTGTCCCACTCTGCCCATCGGGCTCATGCCCTGAGATGCCAGTTATTTCAGTTATTAACACAGCATAAACCACCATTAGGAAGTTATTATTGACTTGTACTATCTTTATCATAGCTTCTTTCTCTTTTCATAGTTCTTTCTTACTCTCTTGATTGATTTTTCTTTCTCTTGTTTTCTCTCTCTCTCTCTCTCTCTCTCTCTCTGTCTCTCTCTCTCTCTCTCTTTTACCCATTCCTTCCTTCTTTCCTTCTATAAATTTATTTAGAAAAAAATAAAGGAGGTGGCCTGTTGGCTAGGACCC